TCCAAATCCTATAAACCCTAAGCCCAACCCTCCGCCCCCAGTAGGCCCTAAACCTGGCTTCTGAAGCTCAAGACACCAAGCCACCGGTGGGGATTGGGACCTCTATTCAAAGTGGTCGCGAACAGATCTCTGCAACATTTAGTAAACCAGGCAAAGGATATTCTTCATTGTATGTCCGCATAGTGGCATAGTATGGTAACTTAGCTGCCCTATGTAACCCTTACAACCCCAATAGACATTCGTTCAAAGGGAAGTTGCGTAACAGCAAGCCAGTAAGACGCTAGGCCTTCCGCCGGGCGACGATTCCTCTGCTCCAGCGCTTGGAGGAGCTTGCGCAGGATCAGGAGCTCACGGCCAAGGCATCGGAGAGATATTTAGTTCAGTGGACCATGGTTGAAAACGGTTTTCCGGTTCTCCCAACTCCCAAGAAGGAATATATGTAGAGCTCATGAACCTGAAGTAGGACAACAGCAAGTAGTCGTCATCATCAGCATCATGTTTATTAGTACTGCTACCATTCTATGGCTGTTACTGCTACTATTGCGGTTACTGCTATATCCCTTGACGTGTAGGGTCCTGGGGTTGATTGAAATGGGTTTACTGTTAGGGTGCCGGTGGGGTTTCGGGTTCAAAGTTTGGGGGATCCCGGGAGGGTACAACAAGCATGGTATAACAAGAAGAACCAAGAAGAACAATGGTCACAATCATACTTTGGCAATGCTGTCTTCATCAACTGTATCAGCCTTGCTTTGGAGAAGGGTAGGAAGCAATCAGAAGACAGCAGCTCCTTGATTAATTTCACACACCCACTCCGTAGAATCAAGTAATTCCTCTATTCAATGTTGGCTGGTAGAATATTTTTCAATCAGGGGCAGTGGACAAATGGTAGTGAATGAGAGTTCAGGGTTGCAAGACGTAGGGTCTTCGGTCAGTATAAACCAATTTTGATGTAATTTTCCATATCTTTTCCAATTTGATTTTACATTATTCGATATAGGAAATCATTGAGGCAAGGGTTTGAGGGCTTGGATTGAAGAGCGGTTGACCATCAGGACAGGACCTGAGTCGTAGCAAGGAGGTTTCCACAAGTGACTCTAGCAACCTAATTCATTGTTAGGTGGCTTATTTGAAAAGCAGTCTCCCCCTTTAAAAAGTAGTATTCAGGATGCTTTTGCCCTTGAATTTATTTTCAAATATTGGGGGGAAGGGATTAGCAAGGAGGTTTCCAAAAGTCACTCTTGGGATCGTAGACCTTTACCACGCTCGACCCAAGGGCGAAATCCTGACCAAGGCAAGTCTTTTGTAAGGGCTTATAGTACCCCCTTAGAGGTACCCTCGCCCAGATTTAGGGTTTAAGGGTTTAAGGGTTTAGGGTTTAGGGTTTAAGGGTTTAAGGGTTTAGGGTTATTGGGCCTTATTAAGCCCTTTAAATCTCCTTAAACCATGGGGGGTGTACCTTTGGGGGAGGGGGG